GAAATGGCTTCGTAAAGTAGCACAACTCGTGGAGTGTGGATAGGCTCGTAGAAGGGGTTGACTTGTAGATTGGATCAGCTCGTGAAGCGAACCTTCTTAGAAAAGATTTTAACACAAGATCGACTGTTTGGGTTGTGGCTGTTAACAGACATACAAAGTTTAATCCTTTGCAAGTGCACGAGTCGCAATCGCAGCATAGTGCACGAGTAAGGGTCGATCCCACAGAAACTGGAGGTGCTCTCGCGATCCTAGTAACTATGTCTTCATGAAAGTAATAAGAATTGAAATAAAGAAAACATAAAAATGACATTAAAGTAAATTTAAATCTAACTATCTACAAAGAATCCTACGGCTCTAACTCAATCATAATTATCAGGCTACGTGTTCATCATCAAACTATTGTTCTCTCCACTCCATTCAAGGGTTCGTACATCATCTGGTTCAACCTAGTACTTTCATCATTCAAACTAGCTAGTGGCGTATAGTCTAGCCTAAATAATGAAGGAACCAATTCGCATAGACACAAATCATTCATTCACAGAGCTAATCAAGATAGGCATGACTTCTCTCGTTTCTAAGGTATTACTGTGACTATTCGAAATAACCTAGTATTTCCATCAACTAAACTAGTTAGTGGCGTATAGCCTAGTCTAGTAACAAGAACCCATTAACTGCAAGACGATCTTAAAGACAGTAACCAATCTATACCAGAGCAGGGCTACAAATAAGTCATTCCACATATAATCTTGTCTCATACAATCAATCAACTAACATCAAGGTTGATCAGGCCCTAATATCAACTAAAGATTGAATTAAATGCAATGAATGAATCTAGAACATAATAGAATGGATCAAACAAATAGGTTAACAGTAAAACACAAGCCTTCAATTAGATTACATCAAATCCTTAGAAAACAAAATACAACATAAAAGAAATGAAGCAACAACACGTGGAACCATGATCGTGAAGAACAAAGGAGGAAGAGAACCTCATTTCCTCTCTAATCTCCACATTTCCAAGAAGCCCCAAATGTATTCTCTCCCCAAATGTGTATATCAAACCTAAAACTCCCTAAAAATAGACTAAAGTTTCCTTTATTTAGTTTTTAGACAAAATGACAAACTTATTAATACTAGTCGCCGAAATTAGGGTTGGAAATGTGACATTTTTACATTTTGCGCAATTTGCGCCATGGCGCTGTTTATTTGAGCCGCGACTCAGTTTAATTGTGCCCCAACGTAGTTGAATTGAGCCGCGGCTTGGTTTTGGTGATTTTTCCTTAAAAAAAACCCTATCACTCCGCGACTTGGATTAATTGAGCCGCAACGCAATTTGGATTTCTTCGGCTTTATGCTCTAGCGCAGAAAAGTGTGATGAGGCTCAAAATCAGTTTCGTCGTCTTCACACCGTGACTCAAAAAAGTGTGATGCAGCTCAGATGCGGAATTTCACTATTTTTCAAACTCACCTTGATTTATCCGCACTCGACGGGTCTAGGATGTCCAAACATCAACACAAGCATGAATAATCTATCTTTTTGCACCTGAATACCTGAAAACATAACAAAACCCGTGATTCTAGGAGATAACAAAATAAGTAAGAAAACTCATCCTAAATAATGCATTAAAACTTGAATTTCTTATAATTTCACCCCCAAATCACAAAATAAATATGCATTTCCAACACTCAATAGCTGTTTTGCAGGAACAACAAAGGTTGAACCAAGGCTTTGGGCCATGTGGGCCAACCAGAGTTAGGCCAAGGTGCTGGGCCGTATTATGATCATAACGTTATTGGATCGTTAGGGGTCTAGTGTGATTTTTTACCCATATATGCCTTCCTCAGCTTGCCTTCGGAGTTGAGCGTGGTGTGTGTCCGAAGCATGACCAACTTTGAAGGCAAGCTAAGGAAGGCACGAGCTCTAAGAGGTGAGTTTGCTAGCATACAAATTAGACCTGGCAAACGGGCAGGTCAAGTGGGTATGGGCTAGGTAGACATAGGTCGCGGGTAAAACAGGCATGGGTCAAATTTTTCTACCGGTTGACATATGCATGACTTGTACTTGCCCGTACGGGTATGGGTACAGGTGGACCCACAGGTCACTCGCATATAATGGCATTTTCTATAATTTTTTATGTTAGGCATTTTCTGTAATTTTTTTATGTTCGACCCAGAAAACAACTACATATTTAACTTGCTCATTTTCATACAACAAGGAAGCACAGAGGATCACAACTACTCCCAAAATCACGTCCAAACAATCGCCAAGGTAAACAACATACCTTACTTTCAGTCTTAGATGGCTACGACGTCGGTGTGACAGCTACAGAGATTGGAAGATTGAGTTGCTGCGAAGGCGTGAGGCGACAATGGCGTGAGAGAGAGCTGCCGCTAAGAGTGACTACTGCTACTAAGAGCAGGGCAACATCGGAGTGAGAGAGAATGAGAGTGAGAGCTGCTGATGTTTCGTCGTTGACCTGGGTTTGGGAGTTGTCGTTCGTCGGCGTGAAGAGAATGAGACTAAGTCACCTTTTTTTTTTTTTGTTTCAGTTTGAGAGTTAGAGTTTGTTAATTTGTTTTGACTTTTGAATCTTGATTAATTATTCATTTATTTTGAATTATAATTATTGATTTTTTTAAAAAAAAAAATCAAGTGCGAATACCCGTGGGCATTACCTGGCCCACCCGTAATTTTCACGGGCGGACCGGATACAGGTAACTTTGAAACGGGGTATTTTAAAAGGATACCCATACCTGCAGGTATGAGCCCTCTTTTGCCAGGTCTAATACAAATACAAAGGGAATCATAGGGATTAGGATATGGGATCTAATTACGGGGATTAAGATCAAAGAGAGATTAGAAAGTATCTTCATCGTAGGATAGAAGAGTGCGAGGGAAATTGATCGTGGGGTTAACACCTGAACCACGTTAAAATCCTTGTTCTTTATTGTTCTGATTTATCGCTTTATGTGTATGTGTTGAATCATGGTTGATGGAGTTGAGTGTAGGATCAAAGCATGCCACTTTGGCACCTAACTGTGGTATCAATGCTTACTTCCGCACGCAACACATATAAATATCTTATGTTTCGTTTGAAGATGTCTATTTTGTCAAACTTAATTGAAAAACTAAGGTCCTTGGTAGTTTTGGCACTTTGTTAGATCCAAATATTAATTGGGCAAGTTTAAGAGGTTTGGTAGGTATTATCCTTAATTTAATCGATAATAATTATTGTTAATCTTGTTTGTATTTCTCTTTAATTTGGTGTATGTTATTATGCGTGAATTTTTTGTAAAACAATTTTTAGCTTCTGAAAATTTTCTATCTCTGTTCCAAATGTTCAAGATTTTTGGTTATCTATTTATATTTTTAGATGCCAATATATAATCTAATTTTAACCCCTGAAGTATCCTGAAAAATATACGCCCTAAATGTTTCAGAATTAACAAAAAGATCTCCTAAATTAGGGAAGTTATTCATTGAATATGTGTAAGAATGAGTGACATTAAAACACTAAATTTCATATTAAATGCACCTTATTTTGAAATTTAGATAAAATATTAACAAACACTCCATAATTATAAGCTTAATTAATTAAAACTAAACAACAACGATCACAAGTTTGATTTTATTCTTCATGTATAGTAAATGGTAGATTTTCTAGTAGAGAGAAATTTCGTGATTCCTTCTACTTGAAGCACTATATAGCTTAATTAGCTGGTATCAAAGATTTTTTTTTTTTTCAAATTATAAATTAGTGTGATCGATAATCAATATTTAAGTAATCAAGAACAATTTCTTTAATTTACAAACCCCAAACTAAGAATCAAGCTTAGCCTTGAGAATCTCAACCTCCTCATCTCTTACTTGATTGATAGCCAATTTTGCACTGTTAATATTCTTAATTACCATTAAATAATAATAACAATAAGTATATTCGATTTGTATTTTTGTGCGATTAATATATATTTTAGATACAAATTAAGAACACTGATCAATTAATTAATTAATTAAGCATGTTGATTATCTTAAATTAGGGTACGATTTGAGAAAAATCTTTGAATTTATCTTAACGATTCATCTGGCTTTGCAAAATTCAGTTGTTTCTATGATTTGAACATGGACCTTTTTAGCATCAACCCCGCAAGTTTAAGAATTAATTAAAATTATTTTATTTTAATTTCTGTTTATTATATATATGTATGTATATTTTTAGATTGATATAATTATAATTAAAAGTATATGATCGAAATGATATTGTTTTTTACTTTAAAAAAAAAAAAAATTGATATATTTTTTATTTCATTTACTGGACACTACTGCCTCTGAAATTTCAACATATTGTGATATTAGTTAATTAAATTTGATCAATGTTATAATCTTCATTATCGTAACAAAATTCTATAATTGAGCTCCTCCTCAATTTTAGTTAGCCATATGTTTGAGTCTCTATATAAAATTGGCGGATCAAATTCTCAAGAAAATTAGTTCAAGTTCAGCAAATTGGGCATTAAGAATTCCCTAAATAAAAGTAAAAATGTAATTAATTGATTAACAACGTGATACATACTGGAATTTAGATTAATAAAAGAAAAAATAACCTCATCAAACGAGCTTTGCTTCATGATGCTGATTTGTTGGTCACTGAAATTTTTCTAGACTCAAACAAGTTTTTAGTTAGTGATGCAAAAAGGGTGGTGACACAAGAGTAGAAGAAAATAGATGTTAAAAAAACTAACAATAAAGTTAATTAATCAACAAATATTTCATCAAGATTAGTTGAAATTGTAGACTAGGCAAATCGGGTCCGTATGCGTGGGTAAAAAGGATAGGGTACGGCTCCATAAATTTGGGTCCGTAATTTTTTACTTGTACCCGGACCTGCCCTGCTCTTTTTTTTGACGGGTGGGCCGGGTATACCAGCGGGTACCCGCGTAGAAATTTAAAAAAAAAATAAATTCAAACTAAACACCTCTTCTCTTCTCTCTCGACCATCGACTGCGACGTTCGACACTTTCCTACCAATACCATCTCAGATCTCTCTCCATCTGCAATAGATCATCTCGCCTCTCTTCGATTCGACCCTTCCTTATTCTCCGTCGCCGCCGGCCTCCTCTGCTTAGGTAAGACTCTGTCAAGCTAAATTTGACTTAACTTTTATTGTTATGTATGGATTGTTGTGTGTTCGTTAGTTTACCTTTAAGTAGTTTGAGAGCACAAAAAATTTGATGTGATTCGGCCATAATGGTTTATACCCAGAAATCAAACATCAGAAAAAAAGCTAATTACTGTGTATTTGTATGAAAATTGATCATAGGCTTGTTCATTGGTTGTGGTAATCTTGATGAGTTGGCTTTCGTCATTCAGGGAACCATTTTATATACAAGTAGCCAATAATTTCCATTCTATTTGAACATTCATCTAACAATTTTTATTTTTTCAGTGAGGCTTCTTTTGCTGTTTGAATCTTTTAGAATTTGTTTGAACATACTTGAGTTTAGATTCTGAAAGAAACCCTTAACTTTCTCTCTGGGGTTTAGATACTTTTGATTTTAGGTTCGGTCTCTAGAATCTCTATACTGAAATCCTGGAATTTAGATTAATAAAAGAAAATTAACTCATCAAACAAGCTTTGCTTTATGGTGCTGATTTGTTGGCGCAAGAGAATATTGTTGGCCACTGACATTTTCTTGACTCAAAACAGTTCTAGCAATAGATTAATTTAGTTAGTGATGCAAAATGGCTGGTGACAGGAGAGTAGAAGAAAATAGACGTTAAAAGACTAACAATAAAGTTAATTATCAACAAATGGCTGCGTTTTCAAAACCAATGCCACAGCGATGCCCTTTTCCTGACTTGGCTAAGCTTAATGTTGTGTTCTGCGCAGGTACATTCAGCTAAAATTTATCCCGCCATGGATCTAAGATGCGGATCCTTCCTTGGGATACCTCACGCGGAGGACACCAAGGTGAAAAACTACTGCGTCCTCCTGAGTCAAGAAAAAAACCCAGCTCGATACAAATCACTGCTGAACAAAGTTTACGATAGCTTGGGAACGTCAAGAGGCTGAAATCCGGCCACCTAAACAGAAAATCACTGCTCTACTGAGCTTGCGACTATGTCTTTGCAAGAGGGAGGAATTTGAGGATTTAATGTAGAGTGTGCTGGAATATTAGTGTGTGGATTAAGTATGTGCAGTGGGAGGAGTCTCAGAAAGATTTTGAGCGCGCTCGAGTGGTGTGGGAATGTGCGTTGGAAGTTGATTACCGCAACCACACTCTTTGGTTGAAGTATGCTGAGGCAGAGATGAAGAACAAGTTCATAAAGGGCACGGAATGTTTGGGACGGTGCAGTCACATTGTTACCAAGTGTGGATCAACTACGGATAAATATATCACATGGAAGAAATGCTTGGGAATGTTGCTGGAGCTAGGCAGATTTTTGAAAGGTGGATGAACTGGTGCTGATCAGCAAGGGTGGTTCGATATATAAAATTTGAGCGGTATAATGAAGTTGACCGTGCTAGGCAGATTTTTGAATGGTTTGTTCAGTGCCACCCAAAAGTTACAGCATGGATTCGTTATGCCAAGTTGAGATGAAAAATGGAGAAGTTGACGTTCAAGGAATGTTTATGAACGTGCGGTGGAGAAATTGGCAGATGCGAAGAGGCTGAGTTTGTTTTGTTGCATTTGCAGAGTTTGAGGGAGAGATGTAAGGAGACAGAGCGTGCTAGATGCATTTATAAGTTTGCATTGGATCTATACCAAAGGGCAGGGCTGAAGACTTATATAGAAAGGTGGGCCTTTGAGAAACAGTATGGAGATAAGGAAGGGATTGAGGATGCTATTGGGGAAAGGGAGGTTTCAATATGAGGATGAAGTGAGAAAGAATCCAATGAATTATGACACATGGTTTGATACATGGTTAGAAGAGAGTGTAGGAAATAAGGAAAGGATTAGGGAGGTTTATGAGCGTGCCATTGATATGTGCCACCAGCTGAGGAGAAGAGATATTGGGAAAGATTATATACTTGTGGTAATTTTTCTAGTTGGTGTACCATTCTTGTTTTTATTGTTGTTTTTCTATTGTGATTGTTGATTTTATTTATTTTATTTGTAATTTAGGATAATTAACACTGTATGAGGAACTGGATGCGGAAGATGTGGAACGGACACGAGATGTCTATAGGTGAGTGTATTCAACTTCTTATAACTTTTATGTTCATAGTTCTTTCATTGCTTTTTAGCTGTGTAGAAGTGTATTCAATTTCCATGCAAGCATTGTAGTTGTTGTGCATGATGCATTTTCAACATCTCTTGAATCCAGAATGTTGCAACATGTAGTTTCACTGAATAACTGTTGGTATTTCACTAGATCGATTAAGCACACATGTTACTTAGTAATGGGGACTGAAATATTTTTAAGAGTTTTTCATTTTTCTGGAAACTTATTAATTAGGTTGACTAGTTGTGTGTACAAGTATGTTGTCCTCGATAACTAATGCGAAATTTGATTAACGGTATGAAGAGTACATCGACTATCTGTTCCCTGAGGAATCGCAGACTACAAATCTGAAGATATGGAGGCTGCATACAGATGGAAGAAACAGAAGATAACTCTATAACCAAATGTTTCACATGATTTTTATATTATTTAAATCATAACATGAGATATAATTTAATGTGAGAGTCATTTCATGTTTTGATTTAAAATATAATATAATGATAATAAATAATAAAAAAAAGAGGTTAAATGAATTGGGTCACATAAGTTTGTTGGGAATTGAATGGTTGTTAACAAAACATTGATGAAATTAAAGCACATTTTATGAACTAAAAAGTAAAATACAAGAAAAGATATAGGCTTGTTGGTTCACAATTGGTGTTTTTGGGAAAAGTTTTTTGAAAAAAATTAAAAAAAAAGTTGAATTGGGGGGTATTACGATTGTAGGATTTATAAATTCTAAAATACCCCTTAGTTTGTTTTTTTACAAATACCCCTTAATAAACATTAAAAGTTAACAAAAACACCCAAATCCACCCTCAAATACGGACAGCAGCCCCCACCGCCGAAGGGTGGCCGGAGTCGCCGTAACAAAAACATTAAAAATATTTGGGTATTTAATTGAATTAATAAATTTAGGGGTTTAAAAAATGTTGTAAAGTTGAAAAATTGTGAGTTTTTGGGTATTTTACTGTTTAACTTTTTGGGAATACTAAAAGTAGTATTCCAAAATCCAACCAAACGAAACCATAATTTCCAATGTTTTAATAACCAATCGGGGTGAAACTTGGCAAAGTTGTTAGGTCTTGGGTTGACCAGTTTACCGATTGGTCAAATTAGGTGACAAAACTTTTAAAACTAGGCAATACACCCTTGAAAATTATGTAAAGTCCTTACAGGTTTGAAATTTAGCAAACCACACCTAATTATAAATCGGTCAGCGATGGTTGACAGCAGTGACACCTCAAATGCTGCCTCAATCATCCCTTAAGCTAATTCCTTGAAAATCTACTCAAAAATTTAGCTGAAATAGGTTCGATTTCAGTCAGATCCATCGACGCCGGTGTTAATATTCCAAGCCAGATCTCATCGACTTCGGTGTTGACAACTCTTCTCACTTGAAAATACTCCCCTCTAGCGCCCAATCAAAACTCACCTCCCGCCACCCCATTAGCTTGGCCAATTGCTAGAAAAAGCTGGTTGTTGCTATGCCTTTTTTTCGATTACTATCGATTTACTCATCATAAATCACGTCGTTGCTACCATTGCACTCATAGGCACTTCTTTTCAAAAGCACTAACATCCCAGCCTTTAATTGTCGTCGATCATATCTCTAATTTAAAGTTTTGGGGTGAATAGGGAAATGGTTAACCTAGCCGGTGAAACTCCACAGTCCCAGTTAACTGGTAACTAACTGAGGCCAGGCCGGTTTAAAATACTGTAATTTCTTCTAGTAGGCTACCAAGTCAAGAAATGTATTGTATTTGCTTAAAACATGTGGCGTTACATGAGGGACCCACCTTTTCAGTAAAAATAATAAAATCAAAAGTCAACAAATAATGGAATATTACTAACTTATTAATTGCTAGGGGTCAATTTGAAAATGACACAAATTTCCGGAGAAAAAGGAAAACAGATGGATTCGTGGAATCAATTCCTTGGTTTAGAGTAAGAGACACCAAATTGAATTGACCTAATTACATGTAAATCGCACGAGGAGTGGTCGGTTTCTTCGCCTTTTCTTGTAGACTGGTTTTGAAAAATGGATAATAACTTATTAAATAGGTGTGGTAGTCTACTGTCTTACTATCTTATTAGTTTCATCTTATTATTCTATAATAATCATTTATCACAATTACGTATGGAGATAAGGTTATACACCATACCACTTGACATTTTTGCTCAAAACAGCAACATTTCAGGCTCTTATTGGCCTACATACCAATCTTACTTTGTGAAATCTGGGATTTTTTCTTTTATCAAAGTATGTCAAAGAGATATATATAACATATATACACGGTATTTGGGTGGGAACTTGTCATTCGCCCTAAAACAAAATAAAAGAAATTGGACTGAAACCACATTAGGAAAGACAGCCATTTTCTTGTTTGTATTTTCTTTGGATTTATTATGCTAAAATTGATTCAATAATCTATAATTCAATCAATTTCGGTCATTCAAACAAGTTATTGTCTGAACGCCCGCATTACAGTGACTTCAAAAATCTTCAGCAGCCCATTTCCCTCTCAGTGCAATTGGCCACTGTGCATCTTTCAACCGAATTTGAACTTTCATCTTCTCAAATTCTATAACACCAGTATCTAAGAAAAAAGCAAAACTTGATGTATCTCGAGTTCTCTAAAAGTTGACATATATAAAACGCGTTGAGCGGGAGCTCAAATGAGCATTGTTAGATGAACCTAATTGCAGAAGTATATGGTGTTTTACTATATGGGGATTACTTTTGCAATGAGAGCTCGGTTGAGAGATCCCCGCAGCATAAGATCTACAATAGTTTACCTCCCTTTTTGAAATTTTGGATTTTTGCACATCTGATACTCAAGGGAGTGACCTCCACAAGTTCATCTTCTTGAATGTACTCAATGCAATCATCCAAACTATAATCCAATGGTGTATCGAGAACCACTGTGTACAGAAATTCTGAGTTAGTATCTGCAATAAACCGCCTAAGTCTCTAAAGCAAGACTGTTAAAATAACAAACTATAGAAGCATATGGAGAAAGCAAAAACAAGAGAAGATGAAACAATAATAAATCATGAAGAGCTCGAAGATCATCTGACTCAGGTTGGGACACAAAATTATCATCCTATGGAAAGCCTTCATCAGGAAATCTGATACACCTCTGAAGGCACACCACATCAACCTTCTTAAACCATTCAAATTTTCATTGGAACAGGGTTTCAATTTTCTTAACAGTGACCTAACCACTGTTCAAATAGGAAAAAGAAAAAAAATATTATACGTGTACACATACAACATATATCAATCAGAGCTGCTCCAGGTAGATTTCTTCACCAAGTCTTTTTAGGTTGCATATAAAGGATGAACGCGGGAAAAACTACTGACCTATGATTTAGTCGTTCTTTCTTGTTTTTTATATGCATCCTACAGTGAAGAAATGGGGATCAGTCTGACTGTTTTCAACATATGTATGACGAATATGCCTCATGAATATAATTTTATAACGACAGTGTACATGATCTCCGTAATAGTTGAAAAGCTTTTTGGCTATTCAATGCAAATCCTTGTTGCTAATTCAAAATTTAATCCTTTAATTTGCAGAACATAATGACGTAGCAGCTTCCTTTGACATGCTTTAGAATTCGAATTAGTGCAAGCGAAATAAGATTAAACAGCAACTGCTAAAATACTATCTGGCCTACTCTCATTTTTGTATTCTGATTAAAGGTTTTACCATTTTCTTCTTAGAAAACCAAAATCAATAAAAAGTGAAGTTTTCATGAAAATTAAATTTGCTCAAATCGTGCTCTGCATGATAGAAGAGGTAGACATTAAGATGCTTTTTACCTGTCTGTTCTTTGTTGGAGGCGTACATTGTGGCTGTTTTTCTTACATACATTTAGGGATAAGTCACCAGAACCGCTGAGTGGATGCCTACTATTTGACCTTGTAAACTTCTACTCCAGGACCAATAAACATCTGCCCTCTGTCCTGTGAGCTAGAGAGAGCAAAGAAGTACTTGTTCCTCCTCAAAGGCAACCTGAAAATCAGTCCAGTGATACAATTTGGGCATTGACAGAGGCAGAAGCTCATTACCTTCTCAAAGACATGGGATGTCCATTGCCAGAAATGTAACACACAAAAAAATTATGAGACATGACTTCTTTTTCTAACAACTCGTTCCACACAGTATAGAATGTCTATTTTGGGCCTAGTTCATATGATTTTGATTTTGTAGCACTCAAGACCCATACTCTTTAAGATATAACATTAGAATTTCCAAGATAGATAAGATCATGGTAGATTAGGATCCCACATGTATGATATTGTCTTTTGGAAATATTTGTATAGTTTTTGCCTAACACTCAAGACTTTACACTCCTAAGGCATAATAAGAGGCCAAATGATGAATAAGGGTGGTGTTTAGATCCCATATTACAAGAGGATCACTATGACTCATCCTCATTAGTATGAGATCTTTTTAGTAATTCCAAAAGTGAATCCCAAAGCAACACAAGGACAAACTCCACAAAGTATGATATTATTTGCTTTGGACATATCAGTCTGGGATAATTAATCATGCAACATTCACCGAAAAGACCTGAGAAAAAAAAATTAACTACACACAAATAATCAAAATGTCTATTTATCACTTAGATTTATCAATCATACAGCATTAAATTTTAAAATTTAAATTATAAAATACAAACCTTATTACTATTTAAAGCAATGTGGGTTTCAAAATGTTTAGTGGTAAGCCCATGATTATTACAGCTAAACATTACAAATCCCATGTTTTATAACCTATCTTTTAAAACCAAATATTGCATGGTTGATAAGCTAAAGTGGTATATAAATATTTTTAATTACTTGTGTATTGGCAAAGTGTTGTTACAAAGGTCATGCGGGTTATTCCAAAAGCAAAATCGTACAGATTAGACCTGAAGTGGATGATATCATATTTATATGGATGCGGACAGGTTTCAGGATTGAAGTAGTTCTAATGCCAAATCTATCCCCTTAAAATAACACATCCTAAAGTGGGAATTAAACTCAAAATATAGGACCACTATCCCCTTAAAATACCATGTCTTAATGTGGAAACTATGTTCAAAATGTGGGGTTCTCTGGCCCACGCCATAGGGTAGGTCTAATACAATATGTAATGACCTAGTCTTAGATAAAACGATATTGTATGGTTAGGACTTAGTCTGCACGATTTATTCTTTCAAAACAACCCAAAAGTCTCCCACTAATGAGTGAATATATGATAATACACATAACTCTCTCTAACCAAGTGATGTGAGATTCTAAACCCACTCTCACCTCAACCATGTTGGTTACTCTATGTTATACCCTTAGATCCTCAAGAATATTGGGGTCTTAGGTGTTACATTTTTAATTGCAAACCATAACCTATTTGGATAGTTATATGTACTGAAAAACTTTTGAATATTTATTTGAAAATGATATGATAGTGATAGGAATACACTCCCAAATTAATAAGAATTGGACTGAATAGTGGGCCTTTGATAAGAATTGGGCTGGGCAATGGTTCTTTTGTAAGGTTGGATAGAACTCTCCTTGGAAAACTAGCTTGTCAAAGGAGGGTGCTCAAGCCCTTATAAACCACATGCCCGCCCCTTTCCCTCTCAATGTGGGATTCCTAACACCGTCACGCTTTCGCAGCCGACGTCCACGTTGGCCTCTTTAAACCTTGGCTGACTATGCGGATCTTTTTTCCATTAGACCTCCATGCCCTTTTTTGGGGTAGTAGCCCGGCCCCAAGGTCAGTTTGCCACGTAGACATAGGATCATGCTCTGATATCATTTATAGGAATCCACTCCCAAATTAATAGGAATTGGACTAGGTAGTGAGCCTTTGATAAGAATTGGATTAGATAGTGGTCCTTTTATGGGTTTGAGTAGAACTCTTCTTGGAAAACCGACTTGCCAAGGGAGAGTGCTCAAGCCTTTATAAACCACATGCCTACCCTTGTAAACCACATGTCCAACTCTTTCCCTCTTAATGTGGGATTCCTAACAGATAGCAACTTTTCTATAGNAAGACTAACAATAAAGTTAATTAATCAACAAATGGCTGCGTTTTCTAAAACCAATGCCCAAAGCGATGCCCTTTTCCTGACTTGGCTTAAGCTTAATCGTTGTGTTCTGCGCAGGTACATTCAGCTAAAAATTTATCCCGCCATGGCATCTAAAGATGCGGATCCTTCCTTGGGATACCTCACGCGCGAGGACACCAAGGTGAAACTACTGCGTCCTACTCGAGTCAAGAACAAAACCCCAGCTCCGATACAAATCACTGCTGAACAAAGTTTACGTGAAGCTTGGGAACGTCAAGAGGCTGAAATCCGGCCACCTAAACAGAAAATCACTGACTCTACTGAGCTTGCTGACTATCGTCTTTGCAAGAGGGAGGAATTTGAGGATTTAATTCGTAGAGTGTGCTGGAATATTAGTGTGTGGATTAAGTATGTGCAGTGGGAGGAGTCTCAGAAAGATTTTGAGCGCGCTCGAAGTGTGTGGGAATGTGCGTTGGAAGTTGATTACCGCAACCACACTCTTTGGTTGAAGTATGCTGAGGCAGAGATGAAGAACAAGTTCATTAACAGGGCACGGAATGTTTGGGACGGTGCAGTCACATTGTTACCACGTGTGGATCAACTACGGTATAAATATATTCACATGGAAGAAATGCTTGGGAATGTTGCTGGAGCTAGGCAGATTTTTGAAAGGTGGATGAACTGGATGCCTGATCAGCAAGGGTGGTTGTCATATATAAAATTTGAGCTTCGGTATAATGAAGTTGACCGTGCTAGGCAGATTTTTGAATGGTTTGTTCAGTGCCACCCAAAAGTTACAGCATGGATTCGTTATGCCAAGTTTGAGATGAAAAATGGAGAAGTTGATCGTTCAAGGAATGTTTATGAACGTGCGGTGGAGAAATTGGCAGATGACGAAGAGGCTGAGTTGTTGTTTGTTGCATTTGCAGAGTTTGAGGAGAGATGTAAGGAGACAGAGCGTGCTAGATGCATTTATAAGTTTGCATTGGATCATATACCAAAGGGCAGGGCTGAAGACTTATATAGAAAGTTTGTGGCCTTTGAGAAACAGTATGGAGATAAGGAAGGGATTGAGGATGCTATTGTGGGAAAGAGGAGGTTTCAATATGAGGATGAAGTGAGAAAGAATCCAATGAATTATGACACATGGTTTGACTACATTAGGTTAGAAGAGAGTGTAGGAAATAAGGAAAGGATTAGGGAGGTTTATGAGCGTGCCATTGCTAATGTGCCACCAGCTGAGGAGAAGAGATATTGGCAAAGATATATATACTTGTGGTAATTTTTCTAGTTGGTGTACTATTCTTGTTTTTATTTGTTTTTTTTCTATTGTGATTGTTGATTTTATTTTATTTTATTTTGTAATTTTAGGATTAATTATACACTGTATGAGGAACTGGATGCGGAAGATGTGGAACGGACACGAGATGTCTATAGGTGAGTGTATTCAACTTCTTATAACTTCTTATGTTCATAGTTTCTTTCATTGCTTTTATGCTGTGTAGGAAGTGTATTCAATTTCCCATGCAAGCATTGTAGTTGTTGTGCATGATGCATTTTCAACATTCTCTTGAATCCAGAATGTTGCAACATGTAGTTTCACTGAATAACTGTTGGTATTTCACTAGATCTGATTAAGCACACATGTATTCTTAGTAATGGGGACTGAAATATTTTTAAGAGTTTCTTTCATTTTTCTGGAAACTTATTAATTAGTTGACTAGTGGTGTGTACAAGTATGTTGTCCTCGATAACTAATGCGAAATTTTTGATGAACAGGTATGAAGAGTACATCGACTATCTGTTCCCTGAGGAATCGCAGACTACAAATCTGAAGATATTGGAGGCTGCATACAGATGGAAGAAACAGAAGATAACTCTATAACCAAATGTTTCACATGATTTTTATTATTATATTTAAATCATAACATGAGATTATAATTTAATGTGAAGAGTCAATTTCATGTTTTGATTTAAATATATAATAATAATGATAATAATAATAATAAAAAAAAGAGTTAAATGAATTGGGTCACATTAAGTTTGTTGGGAATTGAATTGGTTGTTAACAAACATTGATGAAATTAAAGCACATTTTATGAACTAAAAAGTAAAAATACAAGAAAAGATATAGGCTCTGTTTGGTTCACAATTGTGTGTTTTTGGGAAAAGTTTTTTGAAAAAAATTAAAAAAAAAGTTGAATTGGGCGGGTATTACGATGTAGGATTTATAAATTCTAAAATACCCCTTATGTTTGTTTTTTTACAAAATACCCCTTATAATAAAACATTAAAAGTTAACAAAAACACCCCAAATCCACCCTCAAATACGGACAGCCAGCCACCACCGCCGAAGGGTGGCCGGAGTCGCCGTAACAAAAACATTAAAAATATTTAGGGGTATTTAATTGAATTAATAAATTTAGGGGGTTTAAAAAATGTTGAATAAAGTTGAATAATATTGTGAGTTTTTGGGTATTTTACTGTTTAACTTTTTTGGGAATACTAAAAGTAGTATTCCCAAAATCCAACCAACGACACCATATTTCCAATGTTTAATAAACCATCCGGGTGAAACTTGCGCAAAAGTTGTTAGGTCTTGGGTTACCATTTACCGCTGGGTCAAATTAGGTGACCAAAACTTTTAAAACAGGCAAATCACCCTTGAAATTATGTAAAGTCCTTACAGGTTTGAAATTTAGCAAACACACCCATTATAATCGGTCAGCGATTGTGGACAGCAGTGACACCTCAAATGCTGCCTCATCATCCCTTAAGCTAATTCCTTAGAAATCTACTCAAAAAATTTAGCTGAAATAGGTTCGATTTCAGTCAGATCTCATCGACGCCGGTGTTATATTCCAAGCCAGATCTCGACTTCGGTGTTGTGACAACTCTCTCCATCCACCTGAAAATACTCCCCTCTAGCCCCAATCAAAACTCACCTCACGCCACCCCCATTAGCTTGGCCATTGCTAGAAAAAGCTGGTGTTGCTATTGCCTTTTTTTTTCGATTTCCTATCGATTTACTCATCATAAATCTACGTCGTTGCTCCATTGCACTCATAGGCACTTTCTTTTCAAAGCCTCAACATCCCGACCTTAATTGTTCGTTCGATCATCATCCTAATTATAAAGTTTTGGGTGAAAAGGGAATGGTTAACCTAGCCCGTGAAACTCCAAGTCCCAGTTAAACTGGTTTACTAACTGAGGCAGGCCGGTTTTAAAATCCTGATATTTCTTCTAGTAGGCTACCAAGTCAAGAAATTGATTTTATTTTGCTTAAAACATGTGCGTTACATGAGGAGACCCCCCTTTTCAATGTAAAATAATCAAATCAAAGTCACAAATATGTGAATATTACTAACTTATTAATTGCTAGGTCAATTGAAAATGACACAAATTTCCGAGAAAAAAGGAAAACAGATGGATTCGTGGAATCAATTCCTTGGTTTAGAGTATAAGAGACACCAAATGGAATTGACCTAATTACATGTAAATCCACTGAGGAGTGGTCGGTTTCTTCGCCTTTTCTTGTAGACTTGGTTTTTGAAAAATTGGATAAAACTTTAATTAATGGTGTGGGTAGTCTACTGCTCTTACTATCTTATTAAGTTTCATCTTATTTTCTTATAATCATTTTACACAATTACGTATGGAGATAAGGTTATACACCTATACCACTTGACTATTTTGCTCAATACATGCAACATTTCAGGCTCTTATTGGCCTACATACCACACTCTTACTTTGTGAAATCTGGGATTTTTTCTTTTATCAAAGTATGTCAAAGAGATATATATCAATCATATTACACGGTTATTTGGGTGGGAACTTGTCATTCGCCCTAAACAAAATAAAGAATTGGACTGAAACCACTTAGGAAAAGACAGCCATTTCCTTGTTTGTATTTTCTTTGGATTTATTATGCAAAATTGATTCAATAATCTATAATTCAATCAATTTCGGTCATTCAAACAAGTTTATGTCTGAAAGCCCGCATTACGTTGACTTCAAAATCTTCAGCAGCCCATTTCCCTCTCAGTGCAATTGGCCACTGTGCATCTTTCACGAATTTGAACTTTCATCTTCTCAAATTTTCTATATACAACAGTATAAAAAAAGCAAAACTTGATGTATCTCGAGTCCTTCTAAAGAATTGCATATATAAAACTGCGTTGAGGCGGGAGCTTCAAATGAGCATTGTTTAAGAACCTAATTGCAGAATGATATTGGTTTTACTATATGGGATTACTTTTTGCAATGAGAGCTCGTTTGGAGATCCCCGCAGCAAAGATCTACAATAGTTTACCTCCCTTTTTTTTGCAAATTTTGGTTTTTGCACATCTGATACTCAAGGGAGTGACCTCCACAAGTTCCTTCTTGAATGTACTCAATGCAATCATCCAAACATATCCAATGGTGTATCGAGAACCACTGTGTACAGAAATTGCTGAGTTGTATCTGCAATAACCAGCCTAAGATCCAAAGCAAGACTGTTTAAAAAACAAATCATAAGAACATATGGAGAAAGCAAAACAAAGAGATGAAACATAATAAATCATGAAGAAGCTCGAAGATCATCTGACTCAGGTCTGAGGACTCAAAAATTATCACCTCGGAGAAGCCCATCAGGAATCTGATATCCTCTTGAAGGCACACCACATCAACCTTCTTAAAACATTCAAATTTTCATTGGAACAGGGTTTCAATTTTCTTAAACAGTGACCTAACCCACTGTCCAAAGGAAAAGAAAAAAAAATATTAACTTGTACACATACAAACATATATCTAATCAGAGCTGCTCCAGGTAGATTTCTTCACCAAGTCTTTTTATGGTTGCATATAAAGGATAACGGGGAAAAACTACTGACCTAATGATTTAGTCGTTCTTTTCTTTGTTTTTTAATCATCCTCTACAGTGAAGAAATGGGATCAGTCTGACTTGTTTTCAACATATGTATGACGAATATGCTTCATTAATAATTTTTAACGACAGTGTACATGATCTCCGGTAATAGTTGAAAGCTTTTTGGCTATTCAATGCAAATCCTTGTTGCTATCAAAATTTAATCCTTAATTTGCAGAACATAATGACGTAGCAGCTTCCTTTGACATGCTTTAGAATTCGAATTAGTCAAGCGATAAATGATTTAAACAGCAACTGCTATAAATACTATCTGGCCTACTCTCATTTTTAGTAGCTGATTAAAGGTTTACCATTTTCTTCTTAGAAAAACATCATAAAAAGTGAAGTTTTCATGAAAATTAATTTGCTCAAATCGTGCTCTTCATGATAGAAGGGTAGACATAAGATGCTTTTTCACCTGTCTGTTCTTTGTTGGAGCGTACATTGTGGCTGCTTTTTTCTTACATACATTTAGGGATAAGTCACCAGACCGCTGATGGATGCCTACTATTTGACCTTGTAAACTTCTACCTCAGACCAATACATCTGCCCTCTTCCTGTGAGCTAGAGAGAGCATAAGAAGTACTTGTTCCCTTCCTCAAAGGCAACCTGAAAACAGTCCAGTGATACAATTTGGGATCATTGACGAGGCAGAAGCTCATTACCTTCTCAAAGACTGGGATGTCCATTGCCAGAAATGTAACACAAAAAAATTATGAGACATGACTTCTTTTTCTAACAACTCGGTTCCACACAGTATAGAATTTCTCATTTGGGCCTAGTTCATATGATTTTTTGATTTTGTAGCACTCAAGACCCATACTCTTTAAGATATAACATTAGAATTTCCAAGATAGATAAGATCATGGTAGATTTAGGATCCCACATGGTATGATATTGTCTATTTGGAAATAGTTTTTATAGTTTTTGCCTAACACTCAAACTTTACAACTCCTAGGCATATATAGAGGCCAAATGGATGAATAAGGGTGGTTTTAAATCCCATATTACAGAGGATCACTGACTCATCCTCATTAGTATGAGATCTTTTTATAATTCCAAAAGTGAATCCCAAAGCAACACAAGGACAAACTCCCACCAAAGTATGATATTATTTGCTTTGGACATATCAGTCTGGGATAATTATCATGCAACATTCACCTGAACCGCGGCAAAAAAATTAACTACACACAATATCAAAATGTCTATTTATCACTTAGATTATTCAATCATACAGCATTAATTTTAAAAATTTAAATTATAAATACAACTATTACTATTTAAAGCAATGTGGGTTTCAAATGTTTAGTGGTAAGCCCATGATTATACAGCTAAACATTACAAATCCATGTTTTATACCTATCTTTAAAACAAATATTGCATGGTTGATAAGCTAAAGTGGTATATAAAATTTTTAATTACTTGTGTATTGCAAAGTGTTGTTACAAGGTCAGGCGGTTACTTCAAAGCAAAATCGTACAGATTAAGACCTGAAGTGGATGATATCATATTTAATGGATGCGACAGGTTTCAGGATTGAAGTAGATCAAGCCAAATCTATCCCCTTTAAAAATACACATCCTAAAGTGGGAATTAAACTCACAATATAGGACCACTACCCCTTAAAATACCATGTCTTAATGTGGAAACTATGTTCAAAATGTGGGGTTCTCTGGCCCACTCCATAGGGTAGGTCTAATCACATTGTAATGACCTAGTCTTAGATAACGTATATTGTATGGTTAGGACTTAGTCTGCACGATTTATTCTTTTCAAACAACCCCAAAATTCCCCACTAATGAGTGAATAGAAATACACATAACTCTCTCTACCAAGATGTGAATTCTACCCACTCTCAACCTCACCGATGTTGGTACTCTATGTTACCCTTAGATCCTCAAGAATATTGGGGGTCTTAGGGTTACATTTTTAATTTTGCAAACCATAACCTATTTGGATAGTTATATGTACTGAAAAACTTTTGAATATTTATTGAAAATGATTGATATGATAGGAATACACTCCCAAATTTAAAATTGGACAATAGTGGG